CAGCATGTCATCTTGATGTTGGAGAAAAACATATGTAACCAAAATAATAAAATTAGGGCTATATGGAGCCCAAGAACATGCCTTGAACGGAGACAATGTAGACTTGCCAAATCATTCTAGACTTGATATAAATTCATAGCTGAATGTATTCTCCAGGGTCTTGGAGACAAAGACTATGACTCTCCTAAAACAATAATTCAAACTGACATCAGCCCCAAAGGGACACAACTCCAGCCGATTATCAAAAGTGAAGTTGATGGTTTTGTCTGGTACCCTCTCCATGGTCGCCTATGTTAAAGCTTCACCAATACACCAGGGTATGCATGCAATACTTCCAGTTCATCCACCAGTCTGGCGCTGTTTCCTTACAAAGAGACCAAAGCCGGTGCTGCCATCCTGTCTCCCTGTTCTGGCATTTCTGTCTCTCTGTTTGCCATTCAGTGGAAGTGTTCCGCCATTCCATCAAACTGTTCTACAAGATGGTAGTGATAAATATGACCAGCCAGAGTAAGGGCAGGGGTTAAGTGCGGCAAGAAGTCCGAGATCAGATGTTTGATGCCGGATCTGGTTGGGGAATACGGTACCAGACAATATGGAACTGATTTGAAAATAATTGGACAGGAAATATCACTACTTGTATCTAATTTTAGGAATTTTCATGTGGGTTATGGAATTTATAACACAGTCTTGGTAATAACATATTATTGGTGCATCTTATCTCAGTGACTATTGGTCAATATTCTCTGAAATAAAATACTTTAATGACTAATCATAAATTTGTCCGCCTACCAATCAGACAGAACTTAACTCCCTGAGGAACATTCTGTTGGGACTCCAGTCCATTCTTCCATATAGTTTAATCACAGTGGAGACAGACAACGTGGGAGGCAATCAAAATCAGCATTTTCTGTACAGTTCTGACATGAGGATTTGTTGACCAAGTTTACAATCAAATCACATATTGCTTAACAACATTATTTAATGTCATTTCTTCTAACGTCTTTGAAGACATTGAAGACTACAGTGATGTTATTGTTGCCACGGTTACACTGATAACAAAACCATGTATGTATTTTTCCATAGGGGTTTTACAGTTATCGTATCTTATAAAAGTAAAGTAAGCCACTTTATTTTATACAATAAGGAAAAGCACAACGTACATCATTCAGTCTTAACAATCAATCAAGAAATAGATATATCTAAGGCACTTCAATGTCATAAACAAATACAGAGGAATGGCCCTGGGGTACTGTCCAGCAGCAATCATTAAAGTCTGTTTGAAGTTGCATGATGTTGTTAATGCCAGACAAATTTTATTTCTTGTTTTATGGCTTTTTGTTCTCAGAAAACCTAAAGGCAGGAGGGGAATTTTTTTTTTTTAAATCACCAGTCAAAGCAAAAACCTACATGAGTTTCCATGTTAACTCTTTTGGTTTGTTTATATCAACTAAAAATAAGTTGAGTGAGTTTAGGTTTCACCTGATTTCAAAAGTATTTCACTTATATCACATTAACATTAGGATTTTATTTTTTGAACGGGGAATTATTTTTAAAAAATTCTTATTCTTTAAAAGAATTCGACCAGTGGATCCGTAAAACAAAAGAAATAAAATTTGTCTGACCTAATATGGTCTCAGAATTGCAATAACACAGAGGTTGTGGGAAACAAACACTGTCAGAAAGGAAACAGGAATTTAGGAAGTTCTGCATTACGTTACTTATACATTGGAGAGGTCAGCTGAAGGGACAGTCACCAAATTGTTCTCAAATGTGAAAATATAAATTTGAACATTAGTAAGGGGTTGGTCATTATTGCAAGTGATGTTTCACGAAAAATGACAGTTCCACTTTTTTTAATGAAAAAATATAAATCTGAACATAACTGAAGGGTTGGTTATTATTGCAAGTGATGTTTCCTGAAAAAAATGACAGTTTAATTTTTTAAAGAAAATAAACATATAAATGTGAAAATTTTTAAGGGAATGGTTATTATTGCAAGTGTGGGTTCATGAAAAAGTGTTACATAAAATGAAGAGGATGAGAGGCAGCCAAATATGATACAGTCCTAGACCAAACCCACCACTCCACCATAATACATAATGGCAGTTCCTTAATACCACTTGGGGAAATATTGTCTGAGTTAATGTCCGAACATTATTATAGATTTTCTCCTCCATATACAAGAATGTTGGATTAATCACTTCTTCGTGCAGAGATATGATCTCTCATGGTACAACAGGCAACCATATTGGCTGTCTAACCATGGAAGACATGGCACCGGTCTTCAGTGCGATATGGTAGACTGATTGCTGAACCATTCTCCAGCATGAACACATTATCGATTAAATGACTGAGCAAGAAGAATACTGATGCTGTAAATTCTTGTGTAGGAGTAACATTGCTTTGATTAAGAAAATCTACAAAGATGAACGGTCTATGTATTAAATTATTTATAGCTGCAGGAATAGATTACTGTTTCAAGCCTTCCCTTTGAAGAACATCAAACAACATTGAGATCTGTATGCATACATACATGTGTATCAAATACACTTTAAAGACGTTCCAGATGAATTGATCAACTAGTTGGCCAATAGAATTCTGAACGAGAATGTTGAAATGGATGGCCAGTATTTGGGCTGTTTGGCGTATAACTGATGTCTCTTATCACACTGTTGTGTAACATTCAAGCAGTCAAAATAATGATTTGTTTGACAAAAACGCGAGCTGCCAAGACCTTAAGTGCCACTTAGTAATACTGATTGAACGGATGGAGCAAGATAGAAGGCTCACCCTACATTGATATGATGGTCGGAGTCTTGAGCTAATTCCTGCATAACCTTTCTTGAATATTGTGTACTTGGTGGGCACTGAAGTAGCATGCATGTTGAATTGAAGATGGAATTAAAACTTGATTCTATTATCTTCAAACAATGAAAATATAAATGGGCCTAGTCTGTTTCTTAGCATGTTTCGTTGTCCATTCACAAATGGGTAGAAATTGTAACTGATAATTGTGAGAAGGCGTAGAGCTGTCAATGTGTCAGGTATAGATCAGATTGAGCTAATTGAGTGAGTGAACTTATTGAGTGAGTGAGGGAGTGGGTGGGTGAGTTAGTGGTGTGTGTGTGTGTGTGTGTGTGTGTGGGTGAGGATGAGTGAGTGAGTGAGTGAGAGAGAGAGAGTGAGAGTGAGTGAGTGAGTGAGTGAGTGAGTGAGTGAGTGAGTGAGTGAGGAGTGAGTGAGTGAGTGTGTGTGTGTGGTGGGCGGTGAGTGAGGTATAGGTCACTGAGTGAGAATGAGTGAGTGAGTTAAATGGATCAGATTCCAAAAATGATAAGCAGGTGATAATGAAGCATACAACTTCATAGATAACAACTTTTCATTACACCGTTATCAAAATGGCTCGCCAATCAAACAATGAGCTGCGGACATTGCAATAGTAACAGAGTAGAGTGAGTGAGGTTCCAACAATAACTAATAACATCAGATATTGGCTTCACATACTGTACTCAAAGAAACACATTCCTTTTGTGTGACGAGTGAACGCTTTAACCACTAGGCTAACACACTGCCTTAAAAATGTTATAAAAAGATGACAGGAAAAGTAAATATTGAAAATTTAAAGAAATAACTACAACAAGAGAAAAAACATGACCACGGTGGTGCTTGATACCAGACTGGTGCTTTTCAATAATGTTGCAGTAATGCCCAAATTCAGATCCTTTTCCCCAAAACAAAGACAGGTTCACCCAGTGCATACATCTTTGAACATGTAACTTCACAAAATTGAACAAATGGATATGAAATATCAGACCGGTTTGTGTGCTACCACCTCAAGTTACACTGAAAGGGCAGTTGAAGTAATCTATAGGCTCGTGTTTGTGAAGAAACATTGTGAAACTTGCCGAATCAGTCATGTAATTGCTTTCAGGCTGGTAATCAAAGAAAAAAATGTAATTTTAATTTATGAAATGATAACCTGAACAATGTATCACATTTTAGTGCAATTTTAAAGGTGATGTTAACCCTATTTTATCTCACCTCGCCTGAACCAGCAGTTTATCTTGATCTAATTATTTGTTGACAATATTTGTTTGGCTAATGTGGACTGACTCATGAATAATGAATACAATCTTATAATTTAATTAATACTGTAAAGGTTTTCAGTAATGAGGTGAGGTGAGGTGAAATTGGGTTTTACGTCATGCTTGAGAATATTTCGCTCATATGACGACGTGCATGCGTGTGTATGTGTATGTGCGGCTGCTTGTACTAGCCCAGACTTTTATAGTGCAAGCCCACTGAGATACCATGCTGCAGTGAAGCATGAATACCCCACTCAGACACATTATACTGACTCCGAGCCGACCAGTCCTTGTTGTACCCATTAATGCCGAGCGCCAGGCAGGGACCAACAAGTACCATATTTTAACGTCTTTTGGTATGACGCGTCGGGGATCGAACCCGCAACCTTCCGCTCTCCGGCGGACGCTCTAACCACTACACCACGGAGGCGGTCTTTCAGTAATGATGCCATATCAGTTATTACCATGGCGAATATCTATATTACCCTTAACAAATACCATCACACTTCCCTAATTCATTCTCAGCTGATAGGAATAATGTGTAGTTTGAAATAAAAGCTTCTTGTTAATCCATTACTAGTATTACCCAAATCCTGTGCTTATGACGCAAATTGATCCAAACCACCAATTTATTCCTGATAAATACTCTGAAATCAGTTTTCAAGAAAATATAACTCAATGATATAACACCAGAACCTTGACAACTATATTGAGAAAAATTAGTGAGCGATATTTTGTACGACAACTGAAGATACAATTTCACAAAATATAAATAATATATCTTGTTCCCTAACTACTTTTGTTGAGTATAGGTTGGAAATAATGAACTAGAATGACACTGACAACATTTTTTATATCTGATGTAAATTCACACAGATAAATGAATGAGTGATTTATGTTGGTCTATGTTTACAGAACTCGTCTCCGTCGTATGGAACGACGAACAAGACAGTACCGGGATACAATGATCAAAGCTGAGGCTGAAGTGGTTCAGCTGCGCCAACACATTGTGGAGCTTCAGGAGCGCTTTGGAGCCATTGAGGAGCAGTCGACAAACATCAAGCTGGACATTACACGACTAGACTTTCAACAGCGTGAAACCAAAAATGAGATGACCTTGGTTAAAGATGCAAGGCCATTGAAGGACGACCACATGTTTGAAATGCAGCATAATATGTCCAAACTGATCAGTGTGAAAGATGATTTGTTTCAGAGTTACGGTTCTTTGATGGACGATGTGCAAGATTTGCGAAAAAAGGAAAACACAAATAGTGACGCAATTTCAAAACTTCAAAATGAATATGGTAAAGTTGTAAAAATATTAAAAATTCACGTAAAAGATCAGAGGAAGCATGGAGAATATATGAACAAATCGGGACGAAATCAAACAAAAGATTCCCTTGTCTGGGGCAACGAGGATCTGGATTCTGGTGATGGTTCTGGAGATATGAGCTTTGAAAGTCAGATGTCAAAACCCAATACAGATCCTCCAGATGCAGAAGATGGCAGCGGCGAAGGAGATGGTGTTGATGTTGATACTCTCCTCCCGACGTTCAATTCATCCAGTGTCCATGGAGTGAATGTGGTAGATCTTGAAGACAGACTTGAAGTGTTAGAGCAGCAGGTCAAGGGCAAGCTGGACAATGCTGACCGAGAAGAGCTGGAGACCAGGATCAAGGATCTTCTGAAGAGACATGACTCTTACTTTGAACAAGAGATTATAAAGCGGGACACAAATATCGAAAATGTGGAGCAGCAGATGGTCCGTATGGGTGAGAAGATCCATGGGGTTGAGAGTCGGGTTCTGTCCATTCAGTTGGGAGACTTCATGCAGAAGCTACAGGAGTCTCTCATCAACTTCACCCAGAATGTCATCACTCTTGACCAGTGGAAGATGGCCAGTGATCAGATCATTAACTCCACGCAGTTCAACCAGCAGCAGATTTCACAGATGACCAACATGATCCTCAACAACTCTAGGGCAGTTGGTCAGATGGACTGGAAGATGACAGATCAGCGCCTCCTTAGTGACCAGCAGTACCGTGTCCTCAGGATGCATATCATCCGACTCAACAATAGTGTTCAGGACCTTCGGGAACATGTAGAGTACCTCGGCAGCATCAAGTCCGGAAGTCCCACTACGGCCCAACAACAACCTGGCTATGCACAACCATCCGGGGATGTCATGTCCCGAGTGGAAGACCTCGCCCTACAGATCATCTACAATGAGAACAGGATCGCCAACCTAGAGAGCAAGGTCCTCAATCAGACTTTGTTCCAGTGTCAGAAGTCCAACAAGGACCTGTACCAAGATGGCCGCCTGCTGACCCTGGAGAAGGAGATGTCGGCCATGTCCAGTCAGGGAGTGCTGTTGAGCGAGATGATCAAAAGAGTTGACCGGGCTCTGTACAGGGTCCACAGTAACTGCAAGAACAACACAGTGTTCCTGCACAAGCTGTGGTCGAAGGCTTCAACATGGCAGCTGTACATCCCCATCATCAGCCTCGTGCAGCAGGAGGTCAACAACCTCCTTACCACAGTACCCAAAGGTGAGGATCTGCAGTCTGGACCCATGAAGATTCGTGTTAGAATTAGTCTTCAGCAACCCATGCTTGTCATAAGAGGCAACTAATGGGATCGGGTGGTCAGGCTTGCTAATTTTGGCTGACACATGTCATCATATCCCAATTAGATTGATGCTCATGCTGTTGATCACTGGATTGTCTGATCCAGACTTGATTATTTACAGACTACTGCCATACAGCTGAAATATTGCTGACTGCAGTATTAAACAACAAACAAACAATAATATGCAGTCAGTAAAACACCTGACTTGGAATTTAACAAAATCAACACCCCTAGTAAAATGTTATAAACAATCAGTTATGTAATGCTTAAATGTGATATACTAAATGTGCTAAAGTTGCATGTTACAAATATTGAAAATTGAGTTTGGGTTTGGGTTTGGGTTTGGGTTTGGATTGAGGTTTGGGTTTGATTTAGGGATTGGGTTTGAGGTTTGGGTTTGGATTGAGGTTTGGGTTTGGATTTGGATTTGGATTGAGGTTTGGATTTGGATTTGGATTTGGATTTGGGTTTGGGTTTGGGTTTGGGTTTGGGTTTGAAACAGGGGTTAAAGGAAACTCTTTCCATGCAGCCTAATTTGCCAATGGTTTAGGACAGCGGCTATTTCTTTTTGTTATTATTCACTGTGGGTATTGATAGTTGTATCTTGGTACTCATTGTTGTTCAATCTTAAGATATTCTAAACAGTTTTGAAAGTAATGGCCATTCATTCTTTGCTTCCAGATTGTGATGGCTACTACAGGCGTGGGTTCCAAGACTCTGGGAAATACATCATCTACCCCAAGGGGGCGCTGCAGTCAGTGTTCGTCTACTGCAACATGGAGGCTGATGGAGGTTGGACACTGATTCAGAAACGTGTGCATGGCAAGGTCAACTTCAGCCGATCTTGGGCAGAATATGCCATCGGATTTGGTTCCGCTGAAGATGAATTCTGGGTTGGCAATGAATTCATTCATCTGATGACAAAGCATAATAACTACTCACTCAGGATTGAAATGACGGATGTCTTCAATGGATTCTGGTTTGTGGAATATGACGAGTTTGCAATTTCCACAAAAGAGGAAAATTATAAGTTACGGGTACAAGGTTTCCATGGCAACGCTACAGATGGAATGGACTATTCTAATGACATGGCCTTCAGTACTCAGGATAAGGACAATGACCTGAGCAGCACACACTGCGCCCTGTACTTCACTTCCGGTTGGTGGTATCGCCATTGTCAGTACAGCAACCTCAATGGCCGTTACGACACCGGCATCGTGTGGTTTAACAGCGACTGGCAAGACTGGATTCAGATGAAGACTACAGTAATGAAAATGAAGCCTAGATCATGATTAGGAAAGTAGCATAAACATTATAGATATTATCAGGGATTTTTTAAATGAATGTTTACAGTTTGTTGTCGAGTTTGTATGTCTCAATTTTACGTTGTATCATTGTTGACCTCATTCATATCTTGTGCGTGTCACATTTCTACATATTTACTGATGTATTGTGGTATTTCCTGCTGGATTCTTTGTGTGAAGTGAACAGGAACATGCATGAATTGTCCATGTTTGCAGCACTGAGTTTATACATATCACTTTTCAAAACTGTGCCATACTGGTGCATAAAATTAAAGCACAAGACTGTAAATTATGTGACAGTCAAAATGGTTTATAGCATGGTGTCACAACACGAGTGGACCAACTCTGTGTACGATATGCTGTAACTTCAACAGCTCTGTTGGACATTACAGCAGACATCACTCTAGTGGACCAACATTATATACGATATGCTGTAACTTTGACAGCTCTGCTGGACATTACAGCAGACATCACTCTAGTGGACCAACATTATGTACGATATGCTGTAACTTTGACAGCTCTGCTGGACATTACAGCAGACGTCACTCTAGTGGACCAACCCCGTGTACGATATGCAGTAACTTCAACAGCTCTGTTGGACATTACAGCAGACGTCACAACACCAGTGGACCAACTCTGTATACATCTACAACAATGACCTCAACACATCATCCTCACATCAATCATCCATGTCTCTGTCTGTCACTGCCAACTTTACGACTCCACCTTGCACCATCACACTTCCTCTTCTGATCACAACATACATCATATGCCTCGAAGCAATGAAATACAGTAACTCCTTATAGAAAATAAGCTTATTCATTACAAATCAGTACGAACTAAACTACAGTTCTCACCATAAGTCCACCAGCAGAGTTTGGTATGTTTGTGTAGCAAAACATATCTCATTGATTTTCAAGACTAACGACCCTTGTAATTTTCAAAACATGTAAAAAGGCTTTAACCAAATAGGTTCTTCAAATAACAGTGGAAACTTCACGACCTAGGACTGTTCATACACTACAAGTGATGGGGATATTCTGATTGTCCAGGTGGGGAATAAATTGAAATGGTTGTCTGGGGAAGTTGTTAGAATAGGGTACAATTTTGGGATTGACATGGTGCATGTTAAGCTTCATTTCAAGTAATAAATAGAGGATATTATATGAGTGCCCATGTCATACTATGTTTACAACACGAGTACCTAAATGTTGGTATTTCCTGAGCGAGAGCGAGGGATATACTGATATTTAGGCACGAGTGTCGTAAACATAGTATGATATGGGCACGAGTATAATATTCTATTTATTACCGAAGTCGTCAAATTGAGGAAAACCCAAATCTACTTTCAAACACAGGCTGGCTACCCGCCGTTGTCGCATGTAGAACACAAAGTCACAGAAGAAATGTGACGTCATAGCATTGTTCATGACGTCACGTCACCATGACAAAGTGATATTTTGCCCTAGGGCATCGTATGCAAAATATGAACCCCGATATGTTCGCCCTCGTAGGTAATAATAAACGATAGTCACCATGGAGCAGGAATGTATAGTTTTACAAGATTTCCCCATATTGCAATAAGTGTTTGTGTGGGGCAAAGGTCATCTTAGTATCTGACATGCTCCACTTTTCTCCCAAAATGACCCCAAAATAATTCTTAAGTTCACTCCTATGTGTGAGCATGAGCAAAACTACTCAACTCCAGAGGGACACTGTACTAACGTGCACTCTTACAATTGTTGAAAGACAATGTACATAAATGTTTAAATTATTTTTATGAAGTAAGCTTAACATGTGACATATCCAGCCCAAATCTCATCTTATATTTGTCATCATCTCAAAACAACCAGTCACATCTATGCTCTTTCTGGACGTCCAGAATATCCAAGTTGAATGTTGAGCTGTATATTTAACAGTCGTACATGACTTAACTAACGTCTTATACAGACACAAAGTCACCGACAAGACACAAACTGATTCTAACTGGTAAATGAAATCGTGTTCTGTCATGTGTTGAAATGTTTTATGATTGTACATGTTTTCCAGATCTACCTGTCACCTTGTTAACATCCACTACATTTCCCATAATGCTTCATCAGACATGTTTTACGACTGTTCAACAAAGGAAATTTCAAAAAGTCACAACTGGGTTAAAATATATAATTACTTTGACAAATGTCCCCCTCTCCCATTCCCCCATCTCATCCCCCATAATCTCAGGTAGCTGTACAGATGGGTGAACTCGCCATACAGGAAGTATGTGGTCCCGTGCATAGAGCTCAGGTCACAAATCACATGAAGTTAATTAACTTTGGGCGTGGAGAGTCTTTGGATGGGTGACCGTATTTGGCAGCTTAACTCCTGAGAATTTCTAGGACTTCAGTCCTGCCCTAACGAAGCACATGTGATACATGTGGTCTCACCTTAGGCAAGTGAGTTTGTTCAAAATTGCCCGTGTTCACCCAGCAGAAAATGGGTACCTGGTGGGATAAGTCATGTGACTATTAACATTCTAGCGCCTCACAGGGAGCTTGGGTTATCCGGGGTAATAATATTCAGATTGTAGCACTTTGAGCATGCCCCTTTGTGGTGCAGAAATTCAGCGCATTACAAATGCCCTTATTATTATTATTATCATTATAAAGGTGTCCCCACATACAGATCCACTCAAGACTTTTCAATGAACTCCTTTGACATTTTCAGATGATAATAACATGTTTAAAATGCACAGCTCCTGTCGCAAATTACTTCAGTGTCAGCAAACACATGACCCTAAGTAAGATATTCTCACAGATTACATAATCAAGACTCCATTTATCTTGTGGAGGTTGTCCTCCATTGCCTACCCTCCCCATCTCAATCCCAGAATGCACTGTTCAGATGCCAAGGAGATCAATCTCAAGCTTTCAAGTTGTTATTTCTAAGACATCAAAGGAAGGTTACAAACCCTTTCAAAAGAAAAATCAGGTAAAACATGTTGTTTTTTTCACTTCTATTCAGAACTATAAACTTGTTTAAGTACATTAATTCATTGCCCTCTTTTGACGTAGCACTGTAGTGATAGTCTAAGGCAGTATGTCCCTGAGACGGTCAAGGTTGAGTGGTTTCCTACCAATATGAGATATAAATGATTAATTTTACATTTTTCTTCAACATAAATTAAGTCACTTAAGTGGGAACAATTTGTTAGTTTGACATAACATGGACGTTAATTCAGTAAGGTGTTTATTAACTGCAATATTTATTTCATGTAAGTTTTTATACTTCATTTAATGACATTTTATGGATTTTTCATGCTGCACAGGACACAGTGACACAGTGACTGATGAAATTGTCATGATGTATATATGTATATACACTTGAGTATCAGTGCAATCATAATAAACCTTCACATATTTATAACCACTTGTTGACTCTTTTAAGAATTCATCGGTTCCCAATTGTGTAGATCAATGTTCATGCTGTTGATCCCTGGATCGTCTGGTCCAGACTTGATTATTTACAGACCGCCATATATAGCTGGAATATTGCTGAGTCTTGGCGTAAAACTCAACTCACTCACAGACTCACTTTTAAGAATTCATTTTAGGCGGTTGGATAGCCTTGTGGTTAAAGTGTTCACTCATCATGCTGAAGACCTGGGTTTGATTCCCAGCATACGTATAATATTCTATTTATTACCAAGTCGTCAAATTGAGGAAAACCCAAATCTACTTTCAAACACAGGCTGGCTACCCGCCGTTGTCGCATGTAGAACACAAAGTCACAGAAGAAATGTGACGTCATAGCATTGTTCATGACGTCACGTCACCATGACAAAGTGATATTTTGCCCTAGGGCATCGTATGCAAAATATGAACCCCGATATGTTCGCCCTCGTAGGTAATAATAAACGATAGTCACCATGGAGCAGGAATGTATAGTTTTACAAGATTTCCCCATATTGCAATAAGTGTTTGTGTGGGGCAAAGGTCATCTTAGTATCTGACATGCTCCACTTTTCTCCCAAAATGACCCCAAAATAATTCTTAAGTTCACTCATATGTGTGAGCATGAGCAAAACTACTCAACTCCAGAGAGGACACTGTACTAACGTGCACTCTTACAATTGTTGAAAGACAATGTACATAAATGTTTAAATTATTTTTATGAAGTAAGCTTAACATGTGACATATCCAGCCCAAATCTCATCTTATATTTGTCATCATCTCAAAACAACCAGTCACATCTATGCTCTTTCTGGACGTCCAGAATATCCAAGTTGAATGTTGAGCTGTATATTTAACAGTCGTACATGACTTAACTAACGTCTTATACAGACACAAAGTCACCAACAAGACACAAACTGATTCTAACTGGTAAATGAAATGCGTGTTCTGTCATGTGTTGAAATGTTTTATGATTGTACATGTTTTCCAGATCTACCTGTCACCTTGTTAACATCCACTACATTTCCCATAATGCTTCATCAGACATGTTTACGACTGTTCAACAAAGGAAATTTCAAAAAGTCACAACTGGGTTAAAATATATAATTACTTTGACAAATGTCCCCCTCTCCCATTCCCCCATCTCATCCCCCATAATCTCAGGTAGCTGTACAGATGGGTGAACTCGCCATACAGGAAGTATGTGGTCCCGTGCATAGAGCTCAGGTCACATATCACATGAAGTTAAGCAACTTTGGGCGGGGAGAGTCTTTGTATGGGTGACCGTATTTGGCAGCTTAACTCCTGAGAATTTCTAGGACTTCAGTCCTGCCCCACAACGAAGCACATGTGATACATGTGGTCTCACCTTAGGCAAGTGAGTTTGTTCAAAATTGCCCGTGTTCACCCAGCAGAAAATGGGTACCTGGTGGGATAAGTCATGTGACTATTAACATTCTAGCGCCTCACAGGGAGCTTGGGTTATCCGGGGTAATAATATTCAGATTGTAGCACTTTGAGCATGCCCCTTTGTGGTGCAGAATTCAGCGCATTACAAATGCCCTTATTATTATTATTATCATTATAAAGGTGTCCCCACATACAGATCCACTCAAGACTTTTCAATGAACTCCTTTGACATTTTCAGATGATAATAACATGTTTAAAATGCACAGCTCCTGTCGCAAATTACTTCAGTGTCAGCAAACACATGACCCTAAGTAAGATATTCTCACAGATTACATAATCAAGACTCCATTTATCTTGTGGAGGTTGTCCTCCATTGCCTACCCTTCCCCCCCATCTCAATCCCAGAATGCACTGTTCAGATGCCAAGGAGATCAATCTCAAGCTTTCAAGTTGTTATTTCTAAGACATCAAAGGAAGGTTACAAACCCTTTCAAAAAGAAAATCAGGTAAAACATGTTTTTTTTCACTTCTATTCAGAACTATAAACTTGTTTAAGTACATTAATTCATTGCCCTCTTTTGACGTAGCACTGTAGTGATAGTCTAAGGCAGTATGTCCCTGAGACGGTCAAGGTTGAGTGGTTTCCTACCAATATGAGATATAAATGATTAATTTTACATTTTTCTTCAACATAAATTCGTCACTTAAGTGGGAACAATTTGTTCGTTTGACATAACATGGACGTTAATTCAGTAAGGTGTTTATTAACTGCAATATTTATTTCATGTAAGTTTTTATACTTCATTTAATGACATTTTATGGATTTTTCATGCTGCACAGGACACAGTGACACAGTGACTGATGAAATTGTCATGATGTATATATGTATATACACTTGAGTATCAGTGCAATCATAATAAACCTTCACATATCTATAACCACTTGTTGACTCTTTTTAAGAATTCATCGGTTCCCAGTTGTGTAGATCAATGTTCGTGCTGTTGATCCCTGGATCGTCTGGTCCAGACTTGATTATTTACAGACCGCCGCCATATAGCTGGAATATTGCTGAGTGCGGCGTAAAACTCAACTCACTCACAGACTTTTTAAGAATTCATTTGGGGCGGTTGG